CTATCTATATACTTGAAGAAGGACTTTTTGTTATCCTTAATCCCAGAAGCTAATCTAAGCTCCAGTGCTGCTTTAGCCTCCCTTACCAAATCCGTTTAAGCTCAGGTCAGGGAGGTGTACTCCTCCTTTGTCCCTGCCCCCTGCTTCCACCGCCAGTATGCTTTTTTCTTTGCCCTCAGGCCAGCCTGGATATCCACGCTCAGCCATGAAGGTTTCTTGGACCTTTTCCCGCCTTCCTGTGCAGTGGAATTGCATCCTGCTGTGCCCCAAGGATAGCCTCCTTGAGGAATGGCCACCTTTCCTAGACCCCCATACTAGCTACACCCTGGGCTCCGAGTGCCTCCCTGACTACTGCCCTGAGCACATCAAAGTTGGCTTTCCTAAAGTCAAGCATTTGCGCTGTGCTAATTACCCTCCGCACCTTTCTCTGAATAGCAAACTGGATCATTTCATGATCACTGTCCCCTAGCCTCCCTTGTAATGTGCAGAGATGCTGAGGAGTGGCAGTTCCTCCTGCCTTAACCAGGGGTTGGGCATGCTCCCCATGTCTGCCCATAAGGTCCCAGCTACCTTAGGAGGGGCACATACTACATATAGAACACACAGCTAGCACCCATCTCTCAGCCCTCTGAAAGAATTTGTAGCACAAGTCAAGGTTTTTCTTTGTGCAGGTTCCTCTTCCATCACTGTCTGTTCTGTGCCTACATGAAGGCAGGGGCCTGGGGACCACATAGTGTAGGATCATGGGGCTGAGCGGTGAAATCAGGTGACATGTGCAGCCTTCATTCTGACACATCCTAGTGTCTGAGTGCTCAACTTCCCCACCTTGTTGGTGACTGATGTTGGCTTTTATGGAATCCCATATGCTTTTAAAAGGAAAAACTGAACAGTTAAGTTCTGTTACATGCTGTTGCTGTGACCCTCCCAATGGTCATCAGCAGGGTCTGAATCCTGGACCTTCAAAGTTGCAGCACCAGCCAGAGGTATAACAACACAGCCAGGCACCTGGGGCAACTGTGACACATAGGGGCAGCTGCCTCACTGGTGCTGGTGGCTGCCCCTGTTAATCTGCCCTAGTTATGCTGCTGACACAGACCTCTGCCCCCAGAGCTAGAGTGACTGGGGGCAGTAAAGACCTATTATTTTCTTTGTTGGGCAGCTGTTGTGGAGGGATGCAAGGCAGGCTTTGCTGTTTGCTGTCCAGCAGTGAAATGCCAAAACTCAGGGCTTGAGAAGTCGATCACTTAGAGCAGTGCCTCCAGCCCCAGAACATGGGCTCTGCCTTTGCATGATGCACATTTGCACTGCATCCCCTCAAAGTCCTCTCTGAAGGCAAGGACACAGGGGTAAGTCTGTTTCACAGACCCCTTGGCCAAAGTGGGTGTGAGCACACAGCTCAAGATAAAAAGAGATGTGACAGACAATGATGTAATAGATCCTGCTCTTGATAAAAGCACCATGGGATGGGCTGCCAAGTAACTGATGCCTAGTACCAGGAGGCAGAGCACTGCAGATTGCACCATCCAGGATCAGCTGCCTGAATGAGAACATAGCTGAATGGCCAGCCAGCTTCTTCTGCAAGGCACTGTAGTTGTATGCTGAGGGCTGCCCTGTCTCCCTCCTGTACAAGTAGGATGCCATTAAAGACAGTGATGAAGTTCATGCACCAGGGAGAATTAGAGTTGTCCTATGCTTCAAAGAAATGTTTGAGAGGAGAGTAGCTAGTAGGATATTAGTACCTACCTGGGGAGGAGATTTCTGATATCAGACAAGGGCACAACAGTCCAGTGCCCAGTAAAATCCAGTTTGAAAGCAGGTTGTGATTTGTTAAGGGTTAGGGCAGTGATCTATCTGCCCAGCTTGCCTAGGGGCACAGAGGGACTCCATTGCTGGAAGTCTGCACACTCAGATGGAGTTGGGTTATATCTCCTAGGAAGCAGTTGTGGGGTCAGTGCAGGAATGCCTGGATGGGGTTCATGGGTATGTGGTATATGGGAATCAGACTGTTTATCAGAATGCTCCCTGAAAACCCAGGAATCCATGAAAACCTTGTGCTAAGCATAGTCCCAATCATGTGAAAGGGAACATGCCCTCAGCAGGTCTTCAGCTAGTCCACATAGCTGGATTTATGCAACAGCTATCACAAAGCTAATGCACCTGACAGGCAGATGGGTTGAGCTGACCATTGTGGATTGTGTGAACTTCCTGATACTAACACTGCCCACTGCCCTAGGCCCTCTCTCTCAAACAGCTTTGCATTTGTCTTGGGAAAAGCCCGGAGTTCCAGCAGCTTTCCTTCGTCCTAGAGGTTGTCTATACTGTGCACTGTGGTGCAGAGTAAAGATACCTACACCAGCCTAGTCTGGGTACAGTAGCTTCACAGCAGAGTGAAGGAGCTTGTACAGAGTGTGCTATGGCTAGCCTGTCTCCTACACCCCAGCTAGCTTGCCTAGAACTTGC